ATAAAAATAAATGACAATGCATATAAAATTGATCATGATAAGAACAAGAACTAAGAGGACCCACGAAGTTTTGCAGCCTATGGTGATAAAATTGATCATCGCAATGCATATAAAATTTGAAGCCTAATTACACAATGTGACCCAATCCATGGAGGCCTAGATGGGAAAGAAGATAATGACTTGTGTTGCTAGTTTGGACTGAGAATGTGACCGAATAATTAAACTTAGTCTTTTTATGTGTTTAGTTTTAAACTTTGGTCATAATGGTTTATTTCTAAAATAAATGTAAGATAATCATAATATACATAGTCTTGATTTGAACTCAAGAACTCAAGTTTAATTAAGCTTCATTTAATCATTAAGACATGTTGCATATGCAATCGCAGATCTTCTCATGTTGTAACTCCCATGTAATTTATGATTTTGCCCCCCCCCAAACTTAATGAATATTTAATATATTTACTTGTATATTTACAATTTTATCCTCTCGAGTCCCTCCTAAGTTTTGTAACTCTCATATAGTTTATGATTTTGTCCCCCCTCAAACTTAATGATCATTTAATATATTTAAGTATATATTTACAATTTTATCCTTTCACCCTTTCATCTTCTTTCTTCTTTTTATATTTATTTATTATTTATTAATAATATATTATTTGACCCCTCCAAGATGAATGGTCAAGATCCGCCACTTGCATATGCTTAAACAATTATAATTTTAATTTTGCTTTTATTTTCTTCTAGAGGTGTAAGAACTAGTTGCATTTATAATTTTGAAAATGATTGAAAATACACAAAATGTTATTCAATTTTTTGGGAGTGAAAGATAAACTCTCTATTAGGGTTCTTGTTTGAATCATTGATTTTATCAATATTTTTTTTTAATTCTTATAGCGATCAACCCACCTTATTAGACTTTTCAAATTATGGCGTCTTTGTTGTCATTGTTTTATCCATGAGTGCTAAAATAAGATTAGCTCGATGAGTCGACCAGTAAAGGCCAAAGAAATAGATTAGACTAAGTAAAAAAATTTGTCGCCTAAATTGAATCAGACCTATTTAGGCCATGAGATCTGTCTGTTTTATAGAATAATAATTATTTTTTAAATAAAAATAATATTATTTTATTAAAAATATATATGTATTATAAATTAATTAGACCATAGATTTACTTATTCTAAGAGTAAATATGAAAATAAAACTATAACAACCACTTATCCTAAGATCTAATGATTAAGATTAATTATTATTTTAAATTAATAAATTTCTAAAGAATGAATAATGATAATGAAAAATAAGTTTTTAATTTTTATTTTGGATTGAAAGGATGCATTCTCTTATAATTTATATATTAAATCATATTTTCTTAAATAAAAACTAAACTTATTAATAAAATTTAAATTTTAAAAATATTTTTTCTTTTTTATTTTTATTTAAATATTAAAAAAAATAATTAGGTCAAAATTGTTCTGTTAATCTATTAGCTTAATATAGGATTAGACTAAACTAAAATTTTAACTCCTTTTAAAATATAAGTTAAATTGTATATCAAAATATTTTACTCAGGCCATAGGAATAGACCAGGTTGGGTTCAGCTGCAGATTTTGACAACTCTTAGTTGTATCCTCGTAAGTTTTTTAATTGTTTTACCCTATATTCTAAAATTAGGTCATTTTGTTATTATTATTTTTTTATAAATTAAGTTTTGTTCATATCTCACTACATATTATATCTTTTTTCGATATTTAATATGTCTAAATCATTTTTTCGATATTTAATATGTCTAAATCATAATTGAGAATGTTTCTCTTATTTTTATATCACTCACATCTCAAAATTTATAACATGAGATCTAGATATAAAATAAAAATGTATTAAACTTTTGTTATATTTTTTATTCTAAATAGATGATTTATCCGTTCTAGTAAAAAAATATTCATTACTTTATATGAATTTAAATATAAGAAGAAATTAAATTATAATTTTTAAAATAAAACGAATTTTATAACTTAAAAATTTATGTGGATAAATATAATATAATTTATTTATTATTTTAATACAATTTATATAAATTATTTTAATACAATGAATATTAATTAATTATAAATATGAAATAAACTATTTTAGAATGAAAATATCTAACTTTAAGATTTAAGACTTTTGAAAATATTAGTGATTTTTTGGATAATAAATAAATGGTGCGAATATAAATAATAATATAAAAAAAAAACATGCGAACGTGGAGGCAACTAGTACTTTTATGGTGATTGGAATCGAGTTCTTTCTGTTGAGAAGTCAACAATTATTATTCCATAGGTGGATTCCGTAGTTGCCTGTCGGAGAATACCAACACGTGGGGGTAACTTTGAGACATTAAGCAAAGAATTTGAATTTTGATGTGAAACAGTAAAGGAGGAATCGTGTATGGACAAATAAGAGAATAAACGATGAAGTTGAACGTCTCTAGTCTTCTTCTTGTTATTATAAATGTGTCTTTTTGATTTATGCTTAAAAATATTACTGTTAAAAATGATTGATTTTTTTAATAATTTTTATATAACTTTTTTTTAATTATTTTTTATTTTATTACATATTTTTTTGTGAAAAGTAACTCTTAGTTAAATGTCAATAAAAATATTTTTTTACAATAAGTTTATCCAAATCATTAATAAATAATTATTTTATTAAAAATATAAAATATTTAAATAAATATACCCATTTTGTATATGGGTTAATCTTAATTATTTATAAGTATTTATGTACTGTGAAATCTACCAATTATAAATTTCATATGTCTAGAAGTTATTCCCTACTCGATAATTATTATATTATTAAACAAATTTATCTAGTTCTTGGATAAATTATAGATAGTCTATGTAAACTGAGGTTAAATTAGTAAAAAATTAGTAAAATAATTCATTTTATAAAATAATAATTATTTTTTAACTAATATTATTTTATTAAAAAAATATATGTATTATTAATTAATTTAATAAAGAATTCATTTATTTAAATATTTAACATTAATATATTTTAATATATAATTATTAAGATTAATTAATATTTTAAATTAATAATTTATTAAAAAATTAAAAATATGATAAAAAATAAGTTTTTAATTTTTATTTTAATATTAAATAGATATATTATCTTATAATTTATATATTAAATTATTATATTTTTAATAAAAATTAATTTTATTAAAAATATATTTTTATTTTTTGTTTTTATTTAAATATTTTTTAATTAATTAATTTGACATAAATATATTAAAATTAAAAAAAAATCAATCAAGTCAAATTAATCATTAATCTGCCAAATTGGATTCCCATTCTATTAAATCATGTATATATTATTTAAAGACACTGAAATATTATAATAAAAAAACAATAATAACGCTGAGACACTATATATTAAATAAGACATGTTAAATTATTCTTTTGTTACCTAAATTTATTCAATTTATTTAATTTGATATTTTATTATTAAAATTTCAATTAAATCCCTCAACCTTTTAATTAGTATCATTCATATATGCATGTTGATAACATTGAAGTCAAATTTAATTGAAGTTTTTATAATAAAGAGAATAAATTAAATAACTAGTATAAATACATATATTAAAGAAGTAATTTAACATGTATTTTTATGGTACTTTTACATTTGACATCCTAACAACTACTTTTAATTACTATAATTAAGGTTCTTCGGTTTTGTATGAATTATAAGTAAATAAGTCTAAATCACTTGTATTTAATTGGATTGATTTAATTATTAAAATATTAAATTTGATTACATCAACAATTTCTTATCACCAATAAAAGAAACAATTTATTATCAGGGAGAGTTGTTTAGAGTTGAACCCATTCGGAGTCTTAGTATGACTGAAATGGTTGGCCCAATTTAAAACATATAATATATTTTGAAAAGTTACAGTAGAAATGGGGGAGCAATAGAACTGGGCTGAGCCCATTATTATTAGCTGCTTGTCCGTTGGAGAAGAGACGATGTGATCCACAGAAATGAATTGTTCATTAACATAAACTGGAACAGTGGAGTATCGATAAATTAATTAATCATATTAAGGTTTAAAAACTTAATATATTTTCTAATATTTGTTAGTCTATAAATTATATATTATTTTTTCGTCTTTAAAAACTTCAGTTTCTCAAATTTAAAAAAGAAATAATTTCAGTTCATTAAATTGGAAAAACAAATCAGGTTTAATCTCCAAATATTCACTGCTTAGGATAAACAAAAAATCTTAATTCTTTTAAATATACTATTTAAAGATTAAAAATATTGTCTTAAAAATTGAAAGATTGATTATTTTTTCTTCTAATTTTAAATAAAACCAAATTTATCCCAAAGTATAAGAGCATAAGCATTGAGAGCGTACAAAGATTCATATAACCGCTTCAGTAAAATATTTTTATGACATTAATTATTGACTGTTTTATTTATGTGGGATAACATGTAAGCTAAAATATGTGTACCAAATGAAATATTAACAACATATTTTCTAATATATTCTTTCAAACATCTTTTTATAATTGATTAAAATTCATTAAAAATAGTTTTTATATAAGTTCAATAATTATTTAATAAATATTTCTTCTAATGTTATAGTATTAAAGAAATTGTAATTAATGAGAAAGTGAAACAGCACGTACTTTTTAAGAGAATGGCACACATCTCTAGAGGGCTTAGGTGACAGTTGGCGGGCAGAATAAAGACCAGGGAAGTTTTACAAGATTTTTTTATGCTATCAAATCATACTGGCACTGGAACAAATAAGCAACTTATTTTTAGTATAAAACGAAAACACTTCAATTGGTCAAATTATATTCCATAAGAATCCAAAATAAAGATATTAAGAAAAAATTACACAAGCCATTTGCAGCGATCGAAAACCAGAAATAGAAAATCGAAAAAAAGAAATGGAAGAAATGGTGGATGAAAGCAAGTTAAATAAAGTAGATGGAGTGAAGAAAAGGAAATCAGGAATAACGGGTCAAACCAACAGTCATATCAACAAAAACTCCAAACAAGAGAATTGCTAGACCCGTGAAGTTGATCAAATGAGTTTCTCCCTGTGGTGGCTGTTTTAACGAAGTATACCTCTCCATCAACCCTGTTAGTGCAGCACAAATTGCCATGAAAAATAGTGCTCTACCACCTGCTACGTGCCATGGGGCCATCGCAGCCCTTGATTGTGTAGATCCTTGAAGCATGAACGCCAGACCCAATAGCCACTTCATCCACAAAATCATCACATATCCCAATTATTAAACCTTTAACAATTTTTTAAAACCACTTATAAATAAAAAATAAGAAATTAAAATAAATCAATTTCTTGTAATTTCTTATTTTGTTCTTAGGAAAAAAACATGATATGAGAGAGACATACCTGTAAGCCAAACAAGCAAAAGGTGCCAATGCCAATCCATGAATGGAGGCTGTCTACGTCTGCCCAGTTCATCATATCATGAAACTTGAAAACAGCACACAAACCAACAATCCCAAGAATTATAGCAATCAGATGCAGTGTCAAGTGAACTATCTTTTGCGTTTCATACGTTCCCGGCACCGTTTGATATGTTAGTATTGCTGCTCAAATTCCACACCAACTTTATTAATCTTTCTAGAAAATCATATATATATATATATATATATATATATATATATATATATATATATATATATATATATATATATATATATATATATAACTAAATCTTTTTTCCATAAACATTGTCTATATATGTTTGCGGGTGGCACGTGAATTAATTCGTGAAGGAAAAGAAATATACTAAATTAGGACATGGTGAGAGAGCAAGATACCTTGACCAACAAGGAAAATGAACCCAAAGAACATCATAAAAGGGTGAACCTGCAAGAATAAAAAAAAGACTCATACATGTGAAGTAGAATGTGAATTTTAGCTTACAGAAAGACAGAAAAACTAAAGGTATTACATTGAAAACACGAAATGGATCGTCAGAATCATATTCAATGCCCTCACGATAATGCAGCAACCAAACAAGCAAGAGGATGAGAGCAAGGAGGCCAAACAAGTGTGCAAAAATTGTGGTACCGTATGCATTCATCTTGGTGGTTTAGGTGGGAGATAATGGAAGGAGAGAGAGTTAGCGAAACTTGTTATAAATTAATGCAGTTTTTTGCTTGTTGACATGGTGTCATCTGCTGCGGTTCAGTCTTATAGAATTCCCTTTTCATAAAGTTCAGAAAAGAGGGAATTGCTTCATCTCTTGGATTTGGAATTTTCAATTAAGAAGAAACTTTGGGCATAAGCCAACTCTAACTCCTTCTAAAGTATATATTCTATGGTACCATTTTTTTGTCTACTATGTATTCATACATTTTTTTTTGTCATAGGGATTAAGGCCTGTACAGAGTCAGTATTACAAATTACCAAATTTATGAAGCCTTGGATACTTAATAACGGTATGATATTATGGATATGTAAAGTTTTGGATATGTATTGATAATAATAATTACAAATAATGTATATGCAAAATATAAAAGTAAATTAAAAATAATATTACATCACGATATAAAATATTCACTGTAAATTTAAAATATAATTTATATATTTTTAAAAAATATTCATTGATTATAAATTTCAATTATATAATAATATAATTTATATACAAAATATTTTTTTATAAACATTACTACATATATAAAACATTTAGTCAATATATTAACTTTTTAACCAATACTTATGATATTATAATGAAGAGGAAAAACATAAGTGGGCTAGCCTTTTTTGAGTTTTCAAAATTCATTCAAAGTTTGTTGGAATTTTATTATCTTTTATTTAAATTAGGTATTAAGAGAAATTATTATCAAGAATATATTAGGTTATTATTTTGATTTAATTAGTTATGATTGAGATATTATTGATATTTGATATATTTCATATATAAAAAATATACATGCACCAAACCCTAAAAATTCTCATTAGTAGAATCGAGTTTTGGTTCTCATGAGAAGAATGAAAAGAGAAAAAAGTTTTTCACAAGTTGTTATTTCAATTTTTGATGACGAAAGTTATGACCTATAGGCTATGAGAATGCAATCTTATTTTGAAGGATTTGATTTGTGTGAAGTTATGGAAGAGGATTGCATCATTGATCTGCTACCTCAAAATCCCATCATAGCTCAAATCAATTTACGGAGAAAAAGAAAAAATGAGGAAGACAAAAGCTAAATCATATTTTTTTGTTGGTGTTTCACAAATGATTCTCATCAAAATCATGATGCTAAAATTACCCAAAGAAATTTGGGATTATTTGAAAGACCAATATGAAAGGGACAAGAAAATCCGATGTATGAAAGTTCTAAATTTGATAAGGGAAATTAAGATACAAAGGATACAAGAGTATGAGACAATTAATGAATACTCAAGCAAATTGTTAGGTATTGCTAACAAGATAAAGTTGTTAGGTAAGAAATTTCCTAATTCCAGACTAATTGAGAAAATTCTGGTAACTGTACCAGAGAATATGAAACATCTATTGCTTCATTGAAAAATACAAAAGATTTGTCTAATATTACTTTGTTAGAAGTGTTACATGCTTTACAAGCACAAGAGCAACAAAAGATTGATGAAAGGAGATCATACTGCTATTGAAGATTATTTACTATATCATGGTGAAGGTTCTTCCCAAACCAAGAACAACAAAGATAACGAATTAGGTGTCTTCTCTATTTCTCCTTATTGCAAAAAAAATAATCACTCACACAACAAGTGTTGGTAGAGGCCCCCAATGTGAAATATCACAAATGTGGTCAATTAGGACATATAAAAAAGATATGTAAATCGCAACTAAAAGAAGTCGTCAAGGTTATAGAGGATGAAGTAGAAGAAAAAATTCTCCTTGCATTAACATGCTTTACAATAACAAATCCACAGGCTAGCTTATAGATAGTGGTTGTACAAACCACATGACTCATGATGAAAATTTTTTCAAAGAGCTCAGCGAATAATTTATTTCTAAGGTGAGAATTGGCAATGGATGTGAAATGTAAGGGAACAATTATAGTTAAAAATTATTCAGGTAGCAATTTAATTTTTGATATTTTATATATCCCTGATATTAACCAAAATTTGTTAAGTGTTGCTCAATTATTGGAGAAAAGTTATAAGGTGTCTTTTGAACATAAACCTTGTGTGATTAAATGAAAATAATTTGGAAGTATTCAAAGTTCACATGAAAGGAAACATTTTACTTTAGATTTGATGAAAGAGGAGTATTGGGTCTTTCGGAGGGGGATTGACACCGCCTTCAACCTAAATCGCATTGGGTTATGAGTCTTTCTTCCTTATATGTTGTTCAACTTTCTCATTTTTACTCAATATGAGACTTAGAATCACACTTGAATTACCTAACAATCTCCCCCTCAAGTGTGAATTTCTCCACATTGGTACATTCCCCTTGAACACACTAGTAGTCCTTACATGTACCACCATTCATCATAACGGGACATGTTTACCTGACCAATTGTCGGGAATACTTTTGATATAAGGACCACTCTTAAACTGTCAGTCACCACATAAACCATCAACTTTGATACCAGTTGTTGGGGGAAGAAAAATGCATTACAAGACGAAAGTAAATAACAAGAACACAAGAAATTTACGTTGTTCAGTCAAAATGACCTACGTTTATGGCTACACTAGATGATATTTCTCATTTGCTTAATTAGGTTTTGCAATTACATGAGTATTTATAATAAAAGAATAAGTAAAGGGCTCATGCCTAATAACACTTCAGACTCCACATACTTAATAATCTCTCACTTAGAGGTTAATCACATCAAGTACACTCCATAGCAAATCTAGTAAACCTCAAAGCTATAACATCCCTAAACTAGTGCAATATCTTCTCAACAATTAACCATGAAAGTCAGTTGAAGCTACGCAAAACTTCAATTTCTCAGTAGTAACCACCTTGATCAACATATTTGTAGGATTCTCTGACCCAAGGATCTTCTCCAAAAATAAAGTATCATCACTTAGTTCTCTAATGAAGTGATACCTCAACTGGATGTGCTTTATTCTTGCATAAAAAATAGGATTCTTCGCAAGATGAATGACACTCTGTTTATCGCTATAAAGAACACTGATCCACACTTGAGGGAGAGATTGTTGGGTAATCCAAGTGAGTCTAAGGAAGAAAGACACATAACCTAATGCTTTAATGATAAGTCCTCAGTTGTCCTGGAGGCGAGAGAGGTCATCCCTAGGAGAATTAATAGGAGCATGACTAGAAGGAGGTCTCCTCCTCATCCTCCATTTTAAACTTAGTATTTTTGTTTCTAAAAAGTTTGGACTCATTTTCGCTTTCTTTTGTAGGACAACTTTTTACACCTCCCTTATGAAGAATACCACCTCCTTTTGGTGGAAAAGAAGCCTTGGATCCATAGGATACATGCATGGACAACCCAAAGATGTAGGGCACTCTTTTTTCATGTCCTAGACCCCTTTTTGAAGAGGTAAAAGCTTGACTTGCGGGTTTGATTGGCTTTGGACAGCCCATAGGGGATCTCACCTCCTTTTTCATGTTCTTCACACCCTTAGAGGCATTTTTGGTGGGTTAGAATGAATTTAACATATTTGGACCATAGGGACTCTTAGCCTTTAGTTTTAGGTTAAGTTTATGTATCCTTTTGTAATTCCATCTAGGTCCTTTTTCCAAAAGCCTATAAATAGAAGGTTTTCCCTCATGTAATTAGGTTGAATATTTATAACAAGTTTGTGAGGTTTCTTAGTGTTTCATCTCTTTTAGTGTTTTATCTTGAACCTTGGTTCAATTGGCGACAATCACCACTTATCTAGGGTGGTTTATCCTCTAGTTGCGTGTCAATACTCCACCACCACCATACTTTTTTTCTCTTCATCTTTTCTTCTTTATTTCTTCACTTTATTTATTTATCCAAGGGGCTGATCCATTTTTCCAGCCTTGTCTTTATTCTTTCTAGTTTCATTTCATCTCCTCCTCCTTCCACAATCCTTAGAAATGAACCTTCACATCTAGATAGACATCTTAATGTCTAGTAGGAATTTTCCTTGGGCTTGCTTATTTTATTGCTTAAAATTTTGCACCTTATCTTTTTAAAATTCTGCACCTTACTTTATTTTACATCATTTGGTATCAGAGCTTAGGTTGTTTCTAGTAAGGTATTCTTATTGTTGCTTTGACTTTATTCCTTGTGTAGCTTGCACTTTGTGCTCTAACTTGTGTTTTTGTGGCCATTTTTGGTTTGCGGTTCTGCACTCAAAAGTTTGGGTGTAAGGTCGGTCCAATACTACACTCACCTAAGTTTCTTTTTATGGCATGCATGATGTTTGATAAAATGCCTTGACAAAAAAATAAATTTCTGCACTTGATTAAGTTACATATTCTTCTAAGTTTAGTGTCTTTTTAAATGTGCCTAGCCTTTGCTTTTGAGTTATATGTCTACTATCTCTTGTTGAAGTTTTATTTTATTGGCTTCCAACACTTGAAATTGCATGATGAATTAATTAGTTAAGTCCATGCATGATGAATGGATCTAGGATCCTAAACATAGGAACTAAGTATTCAAATTTTTTTTCTAGCAACTTTAATTAAATGTTGGCAAATCTATAATTAAGTTAGAACCAAAATAATCAAAACAAATGATATACCTTGCCTTTAGAAAGTTCTTGATTGAGATAAAAAAAATTACATTTGGTTAAAGAGATCCTATAGGCCGAGACACTTTAAATTGTTAAAAAAAAAAGTTTGGCACTTAGATGATTTGGTTCTAGACTTGTCATAGCTCTTGGTTGCATGATTTAAAATTTGCAAATTAGTTCTAACTTTGTAGGAACCTTAGTCTTCTTATGTATGTACTTGGCTGAAAATTTTTTGAAAGTATGTTTTAAGTGTTTCTAAAGTTTCTTCCTAGCTTTTCTTTGTTTTAGTCTTGTTCAAAATTTTGTCTAAATTTTACTCTTAGTATACCTTCTTTGTTTTGTGCTTTTATTCCTTGTCTTAGGCTTTCTTAAAAGTTTTGTCTTTGTTAGTTGTCATTATTGGAACTCTTAAGTGTTCTT